ATTCATTGTCATTATTTTTCTGGTCTTCCTATCCATTGCTTTTAGTTCTGCTTGAGTCCAGTCCACTATTCCAGCTGTGTACCTAATGACTGGGATTGCCCAGGTGTTGTTGTTGTTGTTGTTGTTGTTATTATTATTATTATTATTATTATTATTATTATTATTATTATTATTATTATTATTGTTACTACTACTACTACACACAGCTGAGAGATATGGGGGGGAAATGACATGCTAAAGGTAATGTGTAGTCTTCATATGACTTCTGTCCATGTAAATGCAGGCATTTCCTGTTACAATTCTATTCTTATTTAAGAGAAACAATGAAGTTCTTGTTTAACTTTCTAACTACTGTATCCAGTAAGCTATCCATGATACGGTATCAGAAGTCAGATTTTAAATGTGTGCCTTCCTAACATGAAAAAAGGAAATCCTTTCTCTTGCTATAAACACAGACATTAGATTGTTCTAAGAAAAATGCATTGCATGGCGGAAAATATCAGAATGCAGATGACTTTCTATTGTGATTATTTTTTAAGATGAAAATGTAGCAGAGAAATGTTTCTTAAGCTATGTTTTATATACAGATATGCAGAGAGACGCATTCACAAACACAAACCCTGAGCATTGTCATTGATGATACTACTAATCTTTCCTGAAATTCATCTGTTTGAAAAGAGGATTTTTGGCAATCACTAGAGTCCAAACGAAATATCAAAATAGTATGTATGTTGAATCAGCTATTAAGAGTTTCTTTTTAAATATCTTATTCCAGAGAGTGATAAAATATGCCATTGTAAGCAAGTTCATACAAACCATTAAGATTTATAAACTGTGTACTAAATACATGGAACAATTAAGTAGATTACTTGTTTATTAATTCATTTAATTTATGTTGCCCGATTCCAAAATTACAGTCTGTGTAGCTCACAACGGAATAAAATAAATGCGATAAGAAGAGACGTAAAACAAAAACTATAGTAAAAAACAAGAAAAGCAATAAGATAGTAAACCTGGCAACAACTCAAACATCCCACAGAATCGAGTGGGAGACTTCCGCTACTCTATCCTAAGGCCTGGGAGAATAGCTAGGCCTTTATGTCACTCTGGAATGCCAGCAAGAAGGGAACCATCCTGATCTCAGAGAAAACCTCATTTTTTAGAGGGCAGGTATTGAAACAGGGGAGGCACACTTGCTCAGTTATTATGGATGATAATGTAACAAAAACAACAACAACAACAATAATAATACAGTTGGAAGGGAACTTGCAGGTCTTTTAGTCCAACACCCTGCTCAGGCAGGAAGCACTATACCATTTCAGACAAATGGTTGTCCAGTCTCTTCTTAAAAAATTCCAGTGTTGGAGCACTCACAACTTCTGGAATTGTTCCACTGATTAATTGTTCTAACTGTCAGGAAATTTTTCCTTAGTTCCAGGTTGCTTCTCTCTTTGATTAGTTTCCAACTGTTGCTTCTGGTCCTGCCTTCAGGTGCTTTGGAGAATAGCTTGACTCCCTCTTCTTTGTGGCAGTCCCTGAGATATTGGAACACTGCTATCATGTCACCTCTCATCTTTCTCTTCATTAAACTAGACATACTCAATTCTAGCAACCATTTCTTATATGTTTTATCCTCCAGTCTCCTAATCATCTTTGTTGCTCTTCTCTGTACTCTTTCTAGAGTCTCAATATCTTTTTTACATCATGGTGACCAAAACTGGATGCAGTATTCCAAGTGTGGCCTTACCAAGGCATTATAAAGTGATATTAACACTTCATGTGATCTTGATTCTATCCCTCTGTTAATGCAGCCTAGAACTGTGTTGGCTTTTTTGGCAGCTGCAGCACACTGCTGGTTCATATTTAAGTGATTATCCACTAGGATACCAAGATCCCTCTCACAGTTACTACTATTGAGCAAGGTAGCCCCTATACTATACCTGTGCATTTGGTTTTTCTTTCCTAAAAGTAGAACCTTACTTTTTTCACCATTGAATTTCATTTTGTTAGATAGTACTCAATGTTCAAGTTTGTCAAGATCCTTCAATATCTTAAGCCTATCTTCTGGAGTGTTGGCTATTCCTGCCAGCTTGGAGTCATCTGCAAATTTGATGAGTTCCCCAACTATCTCCTCATCCAAATCATTGATGAAGATGTTGAAGAGCACTCGGCCCAGAAAAGAGCCCTGGGGCACCCCACTACACACTTCCCTCCATGTAGATGCAGTTCCACACATTGAGTACGGCCGGTCAACCAGCTACGGATCTATCTGATGGTGATGCTGTCTACCCCACATTTTTCTATCTTGTCAAGTAGTAGGTTGTGATCTACTTTATCAAATGCCTTACTGAAGTCCAAGTAAATTATATCCACAGCATCTGATCCACTGTGGAGATAATTTACTTGGACTTCAGTAAGGCATTTATGTTTGATCAAAGGAAACTAGAGTTGCACCAGTCCTTTTGACTAAAATTGACCAGGTAGACATATGGGAGATAGGCGGTTCCTCAAATAACAGCGCTGTATTTCATGTGGGGTTTATAAAGTCATAATCAGCTTTTGAATGCACCTTAGCAACTTGTCCAGTTCTCAAAGCATTGGTGTCCTATGGTCATATTGAAGTATACCCAGGGCCCTGTGAAGCATATTGCAATAATTGAACTGTGAGGCATGGATGGCTTTCTGAAGAGCTTCCTGATCCAGAAAAAGACATAACTGATATATTTAGGTTACATCAGATTCCACCTTGATGGACTTTAATCTGTCCAATGACTTTTGGGGAAGGCCTGTTCTTCCTGTGTCTAAAGTTACAGAGAAATGGAAAGACACTGAACTTCCCCCACATTTTGAAACTATTACTAATAATAATTTATTAAATTCATATAAATATTTATATTTAATAATAACATAATCAACACAATACCAAAAGATGGGGGGTTGTTTGGAGTCCAGAGAAGAGCAACAAAGATGATTAGGGGAGTGGAGGCTAAACTGTACAATGAACAGTTGCAGGAATTGAGTATGAGAAAGAAAAGGACTAAGGCTGACGTAATGGCAGTCTTCCAGTATTTTATGGGCTATCACAGAGGATGGGGTCAATCTATTCTTCAAAGCACATGTGGGCAGAACAGGAAGTAACAAATGGGAGCTTAAGAAACAGATCCTAATCAGAATTAAAGAGAAATTTAGGTCAGCAAGAACAATTGATCAATGGAATACCTTTTCTTCAGAGGTTGTGGGTGCTCCATTACTGGAGTTTTGCCTGAAAATGGGGTGTCCTGCTTGATGAGAGGGTTGCACTAGAAGACTGCCAAGCTTCCTTCCAACTCTGTTATTCTGTGTTATATATATGCTACCTGGCTCCTATTATTCTGGATATATTGTAAAGCACCCTTATTTGTGGCACTTAAAAGATCATTGGGCACAATTTTATTTCACCAAGCCTTCAGTCCCTGTTAAATATTGGCATTCAGCTTGGGGGAGCATTTGTATATGATTGTTGTCTTTAAATATTTTAGTGTTTCACAGTCTGCCAAGATTATTCTTATTTTGGGGGGGGACTATAAAAACTATACGATAAAATAAGTAAATATTTTGTCATTTTTTAAAAAAACAAATGCAACCAAATCATAAGCGGTATGAGGCTTTATACTTTTGGCCCCCACTCAGTCCCAGTTTGCATCGTGGGCTAGATATATGCGTATTCTACATTAGCCAGAGGTGATCTTTTTATTTATTTATTTGATTGCTGTTTGGCAAAGCATGAGGCAGATAGTTAGATTTAATTCAGAAAATTGGTCTCTTCCCCTGCACACCCTTTATTGGTCTGAATCAAGCTCAAATGTTCTGCGGTTACTTTTGAGTAAAAAAAAAAAAGTGGGAAACTAGCTATTAGCTACATTTAAAAAACAAACAGATTTCCCTGCTTCTGGGACAAAGAAAAAAAATATTGCCCTCACTTATTTTTCCTAGCTTATTTTTCAGACTCTAAAATTCACTAAGAAGGATCTATAAATTAAAACAGCTTATTCTATATTTTTATAGACATGGGTAACTCATATAAATATGAAAAATGTAATATTTTAATAGCAAGCAGTTAGCATGTTAATGAATTTTGATAACATTAGAATATCCTCTCTGAGGGAGATGGGCGGTTAAGAAATATGAAGTCTAAATAATTTTTTAAATAAAAATATTATAAATTTTTATAGATAGAACATCATTGGAATACAAAGCCAAGGTTTTCACTGATAATATAAAAGTAGACTTTGACTTATGATCGTAATGGAGCCAGCCTATTCCAGTCATAAGTTGTGATGGTTGTAAAGTGAGTCACTATATGATTGGACCCATTTTTACAACCTTTTTTGGTTGTAAAGCAAACACTGCAGTTGTTAATCAAAATCATTGTTTGCTATGGGATGTTTTTGCTAAAAATTGGAAGCAGGTGGTTTTGGCAAAGATGTCATAAATCACAGTCACGTGACCAGTGCTTTTTTTCTTAAAAAAAAAAAAGGGTGCCGGAACTTACACATGTCATACAACCTGCCTTGCCTACCCTACAAGATTCCATCCAAAATAGGTGGTGGAATTCCGTTCTGGGCGTTCTATGAGACAAAAAGCCCTGCACGTGACTATGGGACAGTGCAAATGGCCATATGTGCGGATCAGTTGCCAAGAAGCCAAAATATGGCCACAAAACCATGGGGGAGGGTCTGACTGTTGGAACTTTAGAACCAGGTTGTATTACTTTTTGGACAGGGTCTGTTGTAACTTTGACAGTCCAGGACTACCTTTATAAACTTTGAAGTCTTAAATGACGAATTTTGGCTTCAGGTTTTTTTAAAAAAATGCTATAAAAATAATATAAATCACTACCTTGCTTCCTGTGGGGACTGTTTTGTTTTTGGGTTTTGTCTATTAAAAATCCTCAGACTATAAAACCTATTACTCTTCCACAGTCAGTTCCTATAATTTTGGACCATATTTATGTCTTTTAGATTCAAGTCAGTCAGAAAGTCCCAGCCAGCCAAGCGAAGCTGATATTAAGGACCAGCCTGAAAATGGTGAGTTTTGCCGAGCTTATGTCAATTGAGTCTGTATGTCTTTTAGGGAATTTCAACTACAGACCCCCCAAGAGATGCCTTAGGTATATTAGGTATGCCCATTTTTCTTTCAAGTAAGGCAGGGGTGGGAAACTATGGCCCTTTTAGGACTTGTGTACTTCAACTCCCAGAATTCATGAGCCAGCATGGCTGGTTCAAGAATTCTGGGAGTTGAAGTACACAAGTCATAAAAGGGCCATGGTTCCTCACCCCTGAAGTAAGGCCTGAATAGTTCTGAACAGGCTGTTATTTGAAGCTGCAAACAAGGCGAGTGAGAAAGCACATCAATTTTGGCTACACTTTTGCCATTTTCTTTTTCATTGAGAAAAGATGAAGAACTGAAAGGATAGCGGAAAAGATCAGAAGAATTTGGATTCAGTTGAATTTGGATTCAAGGCAAGTTCTAAAGGATAGTATCATGGTTCCTTTGATTACTGTGATTCAAGTAGGTAGTAATAGAGCTTGATAGAAGCATGGAAGTGAAGACTGCAAGGTGGTGCGGCACAGGAAATCAGAATGTTATTTGGAATGGAGTCATTCCTATTGAGCAGACCTACCTCAGTTTTTAACAAGGGGCAGATTCAGCAGTGTTCATTCACCTTCTCTGTTGGAATATAGACAATTTAGGGAGATTAGTACTTTCATCTGTATAAATCATTGAAGTACTCATCAGTGATACATTTATCAGCATTTTCAGAGGATGCCTCATGGTATTAAAGACGCAAGAACATTTCTTAGTATTTGCAGAGCCATACCACATCATGTATAAAAAAACTGAAAGGAAAAATGTTGCCTTAAAATTCTCAATTATTGCCAAAAGAACAAATAATTATGAAATTAAGGTCTTTAATACTTGGTCTTGAAATATAGCATACAGTTTCTTACCTATAGTTCGCTTACTGCTATCAGATTAAATTCTTTCATTTTACTGATGCTGGAATAGGTGGGAAACAGAATTAAAAGAAATACGAATCCACCAACATTGTTAACAGTTATGATTTGGCAGTAAACGGTTGATAATTCATGGCTTTAATAAAAAAAATATACACATTTTTCAAATAATTGGTTATATTTACATATAAACTTGAAAAAGGTATTCATTAGCCCAGCTGTTCTCCTGTGCTTGCTGATTTAATTGCCTATTAAAAAGAAGGTTTTTTTCCCTGAATATCTTCAATATTCAAATCAAACATCTTGATAATTTCAAAGCATGCCCTAACTCTGTCTTCAAAAATGAAAGGTACTTTGTTCTTTCTAATAGTAAAAAGTATAAAACAATTTCTTACATTTGTTCATGGAATCTTTGTGATAATTGCACTGAGTTTGTTAATGTGATATAGGTAGTCAATTATAGACTTATTTATTTATAAAGGTAATTTTGGACATACTGAAAAAAAACAGAAGTATGATCAAGTGAAATCTAAGTGGGTCTAAATTGTAGTATGAAACTTATTTCAGTAAAATTTAAATTTGTGCTTTAGTGTCACTTTTCAAAGCAAGGTCTATGGACTTCAAATACTGTACATCGAACCTGGATCTAGTTTTGCAATAATAGAAAAGTGAAAAAAATGACATTTCCATCCCTCAAATGCTAGACAGAAGAAATTGAGTAAGCAGCCTAGAAAAAAGTGTAGTCAAAGAGAAAGAAAAGAGATGGAGAAACATACTATAAAGGGAATAACCCCCCTTTTTAATTTAAAGGAACAAAACTAGTCACCTCTTGAATGGCTAATCCTTTCTAGAATAATCATAAAGAGATGAGTCTACAAGTTTTTCTTTTATCTCATTTTAGAAGGCCACACAAACCCTAAAATGTTAATGTTAATTATTATTAGGGAAAAGAGGCCAACTCTTGAAACTGACTCATTTTCATGAAGTATACTTAGAGTTATCCATTGAAATGCATGATTTTTTTGGGGGGGAAATACAGATTGGAGTCATGGAGATAGTTACTTTGGTAGGGAAAAGTTAAAAAAATTCTTTGCCGATACAAGTTTTTCAGTTCAGGACAAATCTTCTTTTCCCATTAGTACATGATCTTTTGGTTTTGAGAAATGAAGAGAAGATTCTGTATTCCATGTTCTGTTTTGAGACTTGTACTTAACATTTAGAAGCAATATGAAAAAGTTGTTAACAGAATAACAGAGTTGGAAAGATCCTTGAAAGTTAGCTAATCTAATCCCATACTCCAGGGGGATATCCTGTACCATTCCAGACAACTGGCTGTCCAATCTTTTCTTGAAAACTCCAATGATGGAGCACCCATAACTTCTGGAGCAAGCTGTTCTACTGGTTAATTGTACTCACTGTCAGGAAATTTCTCCTTAGTTCCAGAGTGATTCTCTTCTTGATTGGTTTCCATCCATTGCTTCTTGTCTTGCATTCAGGTGCTTTGGATAATATGTTGAGCCCATCTTCTTTATGGCAACCCCTCAAATATTTTGCATATATTTCAATATTTACATAATCTAAATATATAAATATATTGGATTATGTAGAACAGTGGTTCTCAACCTGTGGGTCGGGACCCCATTTGGGGTCGAACGACCATTTCACGGGGGTCGCCAAACAAGGCTGTCCACCATTTTTCCCCCCTTTTCTTTGGCTATGCCCCTGGCACCCGGTGATGTATAAGTGGTTGGGGGTCACCACAACATGGGGAACTGTATTATGGGGTCGCGGCATTAGAAAGGTTGAGAACCACTGATGTAGAAAGTCAGTAGTTTAGATCACCACTGACCTTATAATTGCATTACTTTGATTGACATTAAAACTAGCCTATTGTAGTAATACAGTATAAGAATAAAACTGAGGATGGAATAAATAAAACCATTATCTAACATTCGTTTGCCTTTGCTGAGAATCCAGGGTATCAATAAAGAAGAAAACATGTAGAAAGGTTGCTAATTTAAGCAGTAATTTTAAAAGATGTTAACAGGTGTTGATATTAATCGTATTCCCATGAATGAAAGTGCATTATATATCACCCTTTTAAAATTACTTTACCAGTGGTAGCTATTAGCTTTTTGTCCAATCTTTTTAATTTTAGGAGATTTGTTTCCCAGGAGTGATCTTATGGCTGCTAAATTAATTCTGCATTTTTCACTAGATGAGGGAACAAATTCTGCCTACAGCTGATTAATAATAGTGCTAGTAGCAGGAACAATAATTTATTACATTTATATACCATCCAACTCCCAGCAACTGTGAACTTTATAGAAATCTAGTCTGGGGAAAAATTGGTAGGCACAAATGCTACTGCCAGTTGTTGCTTTGTCATGTATAGAATAACTGGAAAACTTTTGCGGACACAATTTCTGGTTGATTTCCAACCAAAATTACTCATTATTTGAAAAAGTTGGAAACCTGAAAGATTATATTGTAACCATTATTTTTATTATTGTATTGGACATTAGAAAAATACATTAAGCCTCTTGTTTAAAACCCAGATTTATTCCAGTTAGTCGTAGAAATCTATTAATTTCAGTGAAACTTACATTCAGGAAAATGCTTAGACAATTGTTTTATAGCCTTGGGTTGAATACACTGATCCATACTCTATTTAATCATGGTTTGGTTTGTTGATCTCATCACAACTGTACTGGGCTCATATATGAGATGATAAACCATGGTTTACAAACCACAAGAGTTCACTTAATCCCAAAGTCATGGGATATTTACTTTGTAGGCTTTCATCAGTAAAAGTAAAAATGATCAGTTGTAATTAGAATATGAATCAAAATTTGATTCCCACAACACTTCTCAGCAATTGAAATCTTTTACACCTGTTGGACAAGTCATTTCTACCATCCTTTTATATTATATTTTTCTTTTATCAAGCAATCATTGTTCCACATATTTACAAAAATATGCTATGTAACTCTTAGCTAATAATAATAATAATAATAATAATAATAATAATAATAATAGCCCAACCTGAATGTGGCATGGATTGACTACAAAAAGGCATTTGACTCTCTGCCACATGACTGGATAATCAAGTGCCTAGAAATAACAGGAGTCAGTAGAAACATCAGAAAATTTGTGCAAAGATCGATGGCACAATGGAAGACACAGTTGCAGATCAATGGTGAGAGGCTGGGAGAGGTTAATATCAAGAGAGGAATATTTCAAGGAGATTCATTATCACCATTACTATTTGTTATTGCACTGTTTCCTCTGTCAACAATACTGAATAACTCAGGACATGGCTATCAAACATCAAAAACATCTGCCAGACTATCCCACCTCCTTTACATGGATGATCTGAAGCTGTATGGAAAAACATCATCTGAAATAGAATCGCTGCTCAACACTGTCCGTATATATAGCCAAGATATTGTAATGGAGTTTGGCTTGGACAAATGTGCCACACTTACTATCAAACAAGGAAAAATAGTGAAAACTGAAGGAATCAAGATGCCCCACGAAAATAACATTAAGAGTCTGGATGAGGAAGAGTACTACAAATACTTGGGTATCCTTCAAGCTGACAACATCAAGCACACTGAAGTCAAGAAAAAGATTAGAGGTGAATACATCAAGAGAGTGAAGAAGATCTTAAAGTCCAAACTCAATGGAGGAAATACCATAAAGGCAATCAACACCTGGGCAATCCCAGTCATTAGGTACACAGCTGGAATAGTGGACTGGACTCAAGCAGAACTAAAAGCAATGGATAGGAAGACCAGAAAAATAATGACAATGAATCATGCCCTTCATCCACGCAGTGACATTGATAGACTTTATCTACCAAGGCAAATAGGTGGGCGTGGAATGCTACAAGTACATCAGATGGCTGAAGAAGAAAAAATGGCTTTGGAAGAATATCTGAAGAACAATGATGAAGATGCACTGAAATTAGTATATCAGGAAGGCTTATTGACTACTGGAGAGACCAAACTGGCCTACAAGAAAGACCAAATGAAAAACAGGGAAGACAAAGCACTACATGGCCAATA